TCCTTTTAATATAATTAAAACGTCTTTTATCGATAACCTATCTTCTGGCTTGAATTAAGTTAATCCGTTAATTATGAACTTAAGCTGGTTTTTGTAAGTGAATTACTCAAATTCATTGCTGTAATTCAATGGCAAATGCTTCTTGAACATTAAAGTGCTTTTGAAGTCTTAAACCATAAGGTAAATTAGATAACCTTAATATTTATTAAACATTTTATCGAATTGAATATCCAACTATCTTAATATCTATATATCTATCTATCTACAATAAACTCTCAATATTTTGGTTCAAAAAAAGGGTGAAAAAAAAATTATTAGTCAGATTCTATTTACTTTTTTATCAAAAATCTAAGTATATCTAGTACCAAAAATATTGAGAATTTAATGTATATATTGTTCAATAATCAATCAAAGTAGATAAATATTTATATGCAAATAACTAAGATTATTAATTACCTAATGAGAAACATTCACTCTATTTTAATAGAAAAAACAAGTTAAAATTTGTTTAAATTGTAACTAATTTACCTTAATAGTTGGCTTTGTGCTTATGTTTAATCCTAGTTTTTAGTATTCATCTGCATAATCTTGAAATTTATTTGGATCATAACATTCTGGAGCTTAGAATAGCCAGTTACCTAACTGTAAAATTAAGAATTATTTCAGAAAGTAGGCTTTCTATAAGTAATATAAAGAATTACATATTGGTTCATTCCGTATCCAGATGTTTTTGTTAGGCTATCTGCCAATCCTAAATCAGCTATAATTATTTTTTAGTTAGTTAGTTAATAATTAAGAGCAGATAAATTAAATCTTTTTGCATTTTATATTCAAAAACTTACAAACTACAGCATTTCCATTATAGTCAATGAGTATATTATCCATTTTAAGATCGTTGGAAATACACTTCTAGGAATGAATGTGCAAAAGACCTTCCGCAATATCTTTAGCATACTTGATTGCAGATAATTCATTTAGTTTTTTGTTAGGACTCTTTTCAATAAGCTCACTTAGAGTTCCTTTTTAAATACATTTTTTTAGTGACCTCATAAAATATTGATGCTTTTTACCTTAACATTCACTCAAAACTAAGTAAATAAACTCCTTTCCTTCAATTTTCTTTAACAAGTTGACAACATATGTAGAACCTTTACACT